CTGACAAGTCATAAGGGCTGAAAGGGTTATGGAAGAAAAGAAAAAGATAAAGCAATCACAGGTGGAAGAATGAAAGAAAAAATTTTGCGAAAATTTTCAGGTGGAAAATTAGGAAAGTGTTCATCTCCAAGGGAGGATGAGTCACAGGCTGAGATAATACTTAACAGGCTAAAGGTACGCACTGACAGCTTACGCAGGTCAGAGTGCCGTCCTATGTCCTGTCAGCTCCATACGATGGAGGTATCCACAATATATTCAATGCTCCGGCAAGTCTTCGTAAACACTCCAGAACACCTTCATCTCCACTCCGGTACTCCTTCACTACCCTTCAGCACACCTTCATTCCACTACGATGTACCTCCCTTGCATTCCGGCACACCTCCATTACCCTCCGGCATACCTCCGTTTCACTCCAGCATACCTCTGTTCCGCTCCGGCATTCCTCCATATCCACTACGTCATGCCTCCGAGGCTATCCCTATCCATCCCCCCAGCTACATGTCCACGATTGCTCATAGCTGAGTGGGCTGGAGCTGGAACCCCCGACACCAGTCCTTTTACTATACAGACCTGTCCCCCCCCCCCCCATCATATCAACCTCCAACTGCAGAATAACAAAGTTACCGGGATAACCCCCAATGGCAGAAAGGAGCAAGCGGATAGGAGAGGAGCCGATGGCACAATGAGGATTTACATCGCGGGCGCCGCAGATGAAATATACAAGCCAGAGAATATTCCCCCTCTTTCAAGTAAGCGAGACCTGCGAAAGCAGTCTTTCGCGTCGCCTGAAACATCTGAGGTAGAATAACTGAAGAGCGGGATGGGTGGGTGGGAGAAAATTAACGTAATGGACAATATGAAGTCATACACAATATCAACATCGCGGGCGCCGCAGATGAGGTATGTACATTGTCGAGAACACATAGCCAAGACATGAAAGGAAGATCGCACAATCATGTCGCGGGCACCGCTGACCGATCCTGCGGACTCTCAAGGCAAGCAAAACCAAAATATGACAGCGCAATTGTGTGAGATAAGAATATATCGATAAGCACTCGAAGTGCTGTGTGGTTGTCTTGGGCCACATGGTGCCACACAAGGGCAGCTCACGCGTGAGCTGGACCCAGGATGGCATGTCCGACCAACACCGAGTGAGGAGTGGTATCAACAAATATACAATACGCGAAGGTGATTAAAACCTCGCGCGATCCGCATCGATGAGGCCCAACAGACGACGCGTAAGAGCGGCAGCGAGTAGATCTGACAACGTGCGATGTTGTAGAACACGTTGTTGTGGTACGAGCGAGAAATCACACGATCATATTGCGAGCGTCGCTGACAGATCATGTGAGGTCTCAGAGGTGCTGAGGAGTGAAGAAGCAAGTAAAGCACACAAATATTCGGAGAGGGATGGAATAATATGAACAGTATCGCACACCCAGAGACGTTGACGAGCGAGCAACGGACGGTACGCATCGTCCAAAAACGCGTCGAAAGGCTCCCAGCTAGAGCACGACATCGACGGCGCCTGGCATCTAGCATCGTTGTCTCCCTGACCAATCAAGGGATGGAGGCGAGAGTGAGAGCGCGAGGGTAAATAGTGCACAGCGAGTAGACCAAAGGATGCGCGCTGCCAGGAGACGCGTTGCGGTGACACAAACGAGAGATCGCACGATTGTGCCCCGGGCGCCGCTGACACGTCGTGCGAGCTCGAGAGTGAAGCGGAGATGAGGACGGAAACATATGGAGACAAATGAAATGATATAGACAGAAATATACAGGCACCCGAAGGTGCTGGTCCCAAATCCCAATAGTCCGCCTGAGTGCCACACCATCCCTCCAAGGATCGCTCCTGAGCTCCTGGAACGGCCGATGACTGAAAGACGAGGAAGCCCACGACTGGTAAGAGAGACGCGGAGCGGCCGAACAAGGGAGATGGTGTCGCCGAAGGAGTTGGTGAAAGGAACGACCGACACGCGATGCGATGCGTGTCCTTAAGGGAACGCATTACTTATGACACGAATGAGGGGTCGCACGATCGTGCCGCGGGCGCCGCTGACACCCCGTGCGAGCTCGAGAATGGAGGGAAGAGGGAATGGGCCAATATTATGGAAGAAAAGAACAAAACAAATGAACAATATGGAACAAATACATACAACACCCGAAGGTGCTGGGTCCCAAGTCCCTGGGATCCACCTGAGGGCCACACTATCCCTCCAAAGCACCCTCCTCCCCCTTCTGCAAGCTTCCTAGATGCGCTCTCGCATTGGCGGGCGCTTAGCGTCGTCGCCGTCGAACACGATTCCGATCGCGCTTCGAAATGGCCGCCGAGGGAGGAGGCGTCGAGTGAGGGCAAAGAGGAGGCAAGCGAAGGCGGAGAGGACGAGCGAGGGCAAAGAGAACGTCGGCGCGATAGTGAAGGTGATGGCGGTAAGAGGACGAGATGGACGAAGTGCGACGCGCGTCGTCAAACGCGTCGACGGGCGCCTACACGGAACGCGTCATCGATGGCGCCTACCGTCGTTGTCGCCGTGCCCAATCGTGAAGGCGTTGCGCTTGCAGGAGGCGTGCCAGGCTGAGGCAAGGCGACGAGACCGATCCCGCTGCATGCGAGTTCGAAACAACGCAGCTCGCCCGTTCGGCGAGCTCAACTACTGCAAGCGAAGCGGAATTGAAGGTGACACGTCGCGGGCGCCGCAGACGTGTCGAGGAAGGAGGAGGAAGGGAGGCCGTGTCACAGTGGAGAGCCCTGTGTGAGTGCCCGAACGATGACAACGCGGGCGCCGCTGAGGTATCGCACGAGCACTCGGTGGTGGGATGTATGAGAGGAAGGCGTAGAAACATACGGGGCCATGCACTCAACCCTCCTCTCAGTTCCCAACCCAACAAACCATCCATTCCCATTCCGACCCTCCAACCTCCTGCGAAAGTCCGTGGCCCGTAGCTTGAACACGCTTGAGGTCGATGTTGGCCGGTTGAGGTGAACGCGAAGATTGAATGGAAATGGAAACGACGCGTTAACGCGAGACGTCGTAGATCGTCGAGGGAACGCGTTGAGCGTGCGAGATGAGCAAAGAGTGTCGAAGAGGAAAACAACGCGCCAGAACGACGTGTCGCGAGCGTCGCTGACAACGTTGAACCGGCGCTCGAGTGAGACCGAACGGAAATGCTACCAGGGTTCCGGATATGTCCACCTTTGAGACACCTATTTCGTACGGTGGTCTCAAAATCCGGAACCGCACCTGGGCGAGGTCTCGAAAAGAAATAAAAAAGGCGTGAAAGGTCGTACGGGTCATAGAGCCCACGTGTACTAACGTGGGCCTGAGCCCTGCACGACCATCGAGAGCGTCTCAGATGGGTCGGCAGGGCGAAGCCGGGTACGATATGATGAAAAGAAAGACGAAAAGAGAAAGAAAAAGAACCTGAGGCTTGAGACTGCCGCGGCTACCCGATGAACGGAGCGGCGGGGGGGACCTTCAGTGTGTGCGAGCTGGGTTGAGGTCCGATGGCGATACCGCCTGTACTCGCCCTAGACTGCCGTTCGAGGCACGCTAGGGCGACGTCGAGAGGATGGCGATACCGCCTGCACTCGCCGTAGACCGCCGGTTGAGGCGAACTAAGGCGACGTCGAGAGAGAGAAAGAAAAAGAAAAGAGAAGAGACGATGAGTGCAGCAGATGAGATTAGCCGATGCCAGCGAAGCGAGTAAAGTACAGGCA